TTCATCAAAAAGAAAATGAATGAAAAGAGTGCAGAAAGAAGAAAAAATTTATCTGTCCCTTTATTAAAAAAACAAACAAACAATCACTTAAATTAATCACTTTAAATCCACTTTAAAGCTGGGAATAAAAAAATGTTTTGTGTTAGCAGAATTTAATTCCAACTTTGAAACTTATCCAACATTAATAAAACTTACCTCAAGTTGCCTTTTTGAACATGCATGCATAGACTTGTACAAATTGTACTTGAGAGGAGATTATTACAACCTCATATAAAATCAGTTGTGATGCTGATATCTGAAAGGTATCGGGATCGGATCGGAAATTAAAACAAAAAGTGGATCGGTGCATCCCTAATTGTAACATTCTCTTGCAGCCATCATGTTTAATTTTTATAATCAGATGTTTGTTTAATGACTACATAATTCGACTTTCACTCTGGGTCTCAAAGGTGTCCTTTGTTTCATACAATGTGAATTCTGAACAGTCAAAATATGGTAGCAAATCTAATACACTTGAAACTGGCCTGCATTTTAAATTCTGCTCACAAGAGCCTAAAGCGTTTCTCCCTTAACCGTAGAGCCAAGGCTGCTGAAACGTTGTTGCTTTATTGCTGCAGAGGCATTTTAATTTGACTGGATTTTGGTGCAGACCTTTGGGACTTCTCTAAATGAATAGTCTATCCTTGGTGGGCTGTTGTCTTAAACTCATGCAGAGGTATTAGTGTTGTTGCTCAGCACGCTCAAGCATGCTCATTTAAAAAGTTGAGTAGTATTCACTAATAAATCTTACAGGGAAGAAATCTGGCTTTAATATTTTTGCTGTACTATTGTTGACCTTTGCCTATTGCTTTTATGTCTGCTGCATTTTTGGAGATTTTTCAAAAGCTACTCATGATATCTGCACAGACTAAACTGTCGACATGCAGTTGTCCATTAGGTGGCAACAGCACATTTATGGAAGGTCATCTCGTCTCCACACTGTCAGACTGATCTGTGGCTTCTTTCTTTCATTGTTTAGGATGTTTATTCCTAGTCCTTGATGCAGTCAACCTCAGCTATTTCACCATTATTTCATTTTGTGATGCTCTTTTTCCCTGTCATGACTCTCGAGTACTTTCACTTGTCCAGTCAGAGCTGAAAGTTAGGCCAGCAATGTCAACCAAACGACAAACAAGCATTTAACAGTAAGTAGTAAAGTGAATATGATGCCTCATTATTACCTCCATTGTTTTTACCCCACATGTTTTGAAATGCAGTATTATTTAAACAACGGTGGTCCAATTAGCATCAGAATAAACAGTAATGAACTAACTTTAGTTGGTAATCGTCTGACAGAATATTTAAAAATGTTTTTTTGGTGTGCAGTGAACAGCTCCTGTATTGATGGAAAAAAAAAAAATAATAACAATAAATATATATATATATGTATATGTATATATATGTATATGTATATATATGTATATGTATATATATGTATATGTATATATATGTATATGTATATATATGTGTATATGTATATATATGTATATATGTATGTATATGTATATATGTATGTATATGTATATATGTATGTATATGTATATATGTATGTATATGTATATATATATATATAAGAGCAGGCTTTTGGTAACTAATGCATTTTGGTTGGTGTGGTGATTGTAGCTAAGCGCCACTGTTCAATTTAAAGTGAAGTTTATCGTCATTCGCATCACATGTGGTACATGAGGTGGAACGAAATTATGTACACTGGATCCCAGTTACCCCCAAAGTATCAAAAATAAAGTATAAAAAGAAACTGTATAAGAGTCTAAGATATTCACCAAGATATACGCAAAACGAACGTCAAACAATATGCTAAAAGAGCTAAGATATACATTAAACACTAATGATGTAAAACAATACGGCGTATCAACAGCAGCTTGAACATGAGTCTGTGGTGAGCAGATGGGTATGAATGAATACAGCAGCATAAGATAATCAGCAGCACAGATAAGTCACATATCACCAATTAAAATGTCATTACAGTGATTTACTTATTTATTTATTTTTCCCTTATAGTGATAATCCTGATTAGGGGTTTATGAGTCTAACAGCTTCAGGGTAGAAGCTGTTCCTCAGTCTAATGGTTCTACACTTAATGCTCCTCAACCTTCTGCCCGAGGGGAGCGGGGCAAAAAGTGTGCGCTGGGTGAGCGAGGTCCTTCATGATGCAGGTGGCCCTCTTCCTGCATCTGGAGGTGTAGATGTCTGTGATGGGGGGGAGGCTGACTCCGACAGTCTTCTGTGCAGCCTTCACCACTCTCTGCAAAGCTTTTCTTTCTGCAGCTGTGCAGCCTCCATGCCACACGTTGATGTTGGAGCACAGGATGCTCTCCACTGCACACCTGTAGAAGGAGGTGAGGACTGAGCTTCCCAGACCAGCTCGTCTCAGCCTCCTGAGGAAGTAGAGTCTCTGATGAGCTTTCTTGATCAGGCTGGTGGTGTTGGTGTCCTGCATGGTATCTGCTGTATGGACCTAGCGAACATCATTGTGGTTTGGATCTTGTAAATTACTGTTTACAAATGATTGCAGAAGTTAGTTGTAAATCGAGTTTTGAAATAAATTTACTAGATAAATTTAGGTCTGTAATTGTGTTTAAGAAAAATATGCAACAATGTGAACTTGTGATGGAAGGAAAAGCCTCAAATATAAAATATGAATAAAGATGCTATGGAGGGATGCTTTGTTGGTGGATTTTCTGGGAAAGTTTCTATTGATGACTTGTGTTTGTGTGTGATAGCAGTTATTAAATTCAGCGTGTTTGCTATAATTGATCTGCTGTCGACTTGTTGCCATCCATTTGCTACCATAGGACATCTTCAGAGATCTTGCTGTGTCGGTGTCAAATAAAACTTATTTTGGCTGCATAAAGATGCATCATGTGCTTGCTTGTATTTTTTAGCCAACACTGGCCTGTCACAGTAAGTTCCACATTTGACAACACGTAATTTCCTGCAGATGAAAAAAACTCACAAAATGTCTCGCACACACACAAGATGGAGCCTTTTCCACACTCAGCTTAGTCATGAGCGTCTTAGTGTGAGTTTTCCTCCTCGTCCCTTCATGGCTCTTCCTCAGACGTCTCTGCTCCTGTGCTCTTCCTGGTTATTGACACGCTGATGTTTGACATGCTCCAATCTGCAGATACTGTAGGTTCTTATAGAAGCTTCTTTTTTTTTTTTTTAAGCCAAACTCCACCAGCCTCAAATCGATTTCTATATTTCTTCCAATTGTTATTGATCCTCCTTTGTTTTTCTCCCAACGTTTTTCCACTCAGTTTGCCTTA